AAGAACCTAAGCTTGAAGATCTAGTGATACAAACATTCCAAACCAAAAGCAGAGAGAACAAAGATGAAAAAGAACTACAGAATATCCAAGAGCTGTGAGACACAGGCAAGGTGTAAATATGTGTTATGGGAATGGCAGAGGGGAAAAAAGAAAGGAAGAGAGGAAATATTTGAAACATTGATGACTTAAGGAGTCTTTAAATTAATGTCAGACACAGATCCAGGAAGCTAAGAGAACACCAACCAGGATCAATGCCCCAAACAAAAACAATAAAAAAGAAAAGAAAAGAAAACCTACCCCTAGACCCTTAGTCATATGATTCCAAACTATGGAAAATCAAAGATAAAGAAGAAGATCCAAAAAAAAGCTTTTATTTCTTTTGTTTTTCTTTTTTCTTTAAGAGAGATTTTTGCAATATGGCACACTGGAGAGACAGACAGAGACAGAGGAAAAAGAAAGAGAAATCACTCCCCAGGGGGGATGGCCAAGCCCGCAATCCTGTCTCCTCCATTCTCCTCTTGGGATCTTGGGCACACAGATACATAAACCCAGCATGAGTTTTAAGCCACTGGGTCTGGGACTGAACCATGGTCCATTACGTGGGAGTCAAGTGATGTAACGATTACCCCTTCTACTGGTCCCACCTTTTTTTCTTTTAAATTTTGCCATAGGGCATGTGCATTTGCCTGAAGAGAGACACAGAGAGGGTAATTGAGAAGCCACTTTCCAAGGCGGATGACCAAGCTGCAGTCCCTTCACCTCCATTTTCCTCTTCGGATTTTGGGTACTCATGCACATGCACCTGGTGTGATTTTCATCTGTCAGGTCCAGGACTCTAAACATGGTTGGTCATGTGAGAATCCAGCTGGAAGGTCATATTCAGATAGATGATTTACATTGATGTCTTCAAGTTCATGACTCATACTGTCTCTGTTCTGCGTTAAGCCTATCCTTTTCTTTTTTCCCCAGTCTGTATATCTTTCAGTTCTAAGATTTGTGTTTGCTTCTTCTTTTTTTAGTGGTTTAATTTTTTTTTTTTAATTTTTTTTTGAGAGGTTTTTGCTATAGGGCGCATGCGCTCACCAGACAGACAGAGAGAGACACAGAGACAGAAAGTGAGAAATCACCCCCCAGGGGGGATGGTCACGCCGCAATCCCTTCTCCTCCATTCTCCTCTCGAGATCTTGGGCACACACGCACACGCGCCTGGCGTGAGTTTTAAGCCACCCGGTCCGGGACGCGAACCGCGGTCGACTACGTGGGAGTCCAGCGACATAGCCATTACACTAACTGCTGGTTCCCTTTAGTGGTTTAATTTCTATACTGAGATTCCCTGTATGAAATCCTTAGTTATATGGTATAGAGTGTCACTATGCTATACATTGGGTTGTCTGAAAAGTCATGATGCATGTTTGTATAGAAAAACAGAAAAAATACATCATGACTTTTCTGATAACCCAATATATTAAAAATAAAATCTTGAAACATTTTAATTTCATTTTTTTGAAGTTTATTTATTCCATGAGAGGAGAGAGATAGAGAAAGTGAAAGAGAACAGATGGTGGGGTGGTGTGAGGGAAAATGGCCTGAGAAAATTTCTGATTAAAGAACTTCTAAGAGTCTTCAGAGGAGAATAACTTTTGGCATTAATTCTGTATTCAAAATGAATAGCGTATCAGTGCCATGTTACTCATCTTCAATAATTATTACACTTAACCATTTCTTGTTTTATACTCTAAAGGATTTTATCTTTCCTGTTGTTTCTTTTGTTAGTACTTTTAGAGTGTGACCCATTATCCAAATTTCTAGTACTTTTCTAATTTTATGACTCAGAGTTGTTGATTGCCACGTTATGCCTCCTATTACAGTAGGAAATACAGAATATTTATGTGTTTGAAATGAAAAACTTGTTTTTAAAATCTCTTTCCCCATTCCCCAGCATATGAAGCTGGATCTTTTTATATACACTTCTCACTTCTCTTATAGCTACTACTATTTCTCCAGACTTACAATTTAAAGAAGTCATGTAATAGCCTCATATGTATATGTATAACATTCACAGTATACAGTCATGTCCTGCATAATAACAGTGTTTCAACAACTGCCTGAATATATGATAGTGGTCCCATTATGAACATATAGGTTATACCACATATGGCTTATATAAATGCAGATGTTTGTGCAGTGACAAAATTGCCTAATGACACATTTCTTGGAATGTATTCCTGTTGTTATGTGAGGCATGACTATATATTATTTGCTAATATTGCGTGCGTGTGTGTGTATGCACGTACATGCTTATTTTATATAGAGCTGTGTAGTTTTATTATAGCAGTCTGTCTCTCTGTGTTTAAACTCTTAGAATTTACTTCCACCTTTATAGCAAAATTTTGTAGTAGATAGATCCTGGCAAGTTCAGTCCTGCTTGCGTATATAGACATAATCACATGCCATATAGATAATTTGAACATATGTTCATCTTCACTAGGTAGGATTTATAAACTGTTATGTGTACATGATATTAAGACTAAACATATCTTGTCCTAAGGTTAAATTATACATGTAAAGGAAAGTAGAATAATTTGGAGAAATTATTAAAGGAGTGCACATAATTGTTAGGACTCTGTAGGCATACAGACTATTCCTTCAGAAGATCAACTTTAGCAGCAACATGGGTATCATTGTTTTGTTACTATATTAAGTAATGTATATTTCTTCAACAATAGTTTATCTAGAGTCTTTTTAGTTCAAATAAGCAGGAAGGTTTGACTTTTTATTTTTTTGGTGTATTTAAGAAGATTTTAACAATTACTATTGCCCATGATTGTTGAAATAAGATGCAGAACTTGTTCTTTCATTATGTCAGTGATTCTTTTTGAGATAGAGAAATATTTTTGCTATAGGGAGCATGTACTTGCTGTAGAGGCAGATTGGCAAAAAGAGAAAAATCACCCCACCCGCCCCGGGGATGGCCACTCTGCAGTCCCTCCTCCTCTCAGGATTTTGGACGTGCATGCACATATACCCAGAGTGAGTTTTAAACTGTCAGGTCCCAGACTCAAACTGTGGCTGACTATGTGAGAGTCCTACTCTGCAACCATTACACCATCTGGTGGCTCCCATCCCAATTGCATTTTTAATAAACTAGAACCCTATTTTGTGCATCATCAAAGAGAAAATGTTTCCTTCCATTTTCTCTGTCTTTTTACATACTACTAAAAATAACTATATGTGCAGAAAAAAGGATTAAGTATATGTTAAAGGGTTTTTGCTAAGACAGTTGCAATAAATGTTTTGGAATGACCACAGCATTGCAAGTTTGGAGGTGAGTAAGCAATGAGAACATCACCGAAATGTCCAGTGCTAAAAAAAAATGCCTTTTTGCTGACAATTATTTTTCCGATTGTTGTATTATAGCTGTCGAAAATGGGCAAATAAATGTGGTAAGGCTGTTGCTTCGACATGGAGCAAATGTTAATGGATCCCATTCTATGTGTGGATGGAACTCCTTGCACCAGGCTTCTTTTCAGGTAACCTCTGAATTTATTATTTCATTTCCATGTAAATTGTGTATCTTACCCTTTTAAAATCACAGTCCTATACAGTTTTTGCTCCTACTTGTCTGTGATTTATGATGGTTCGCTCGGTACAGAAAAGGCAGTCTAAATGCTAATGATCATTCTGAATAAGCCAACTGCTGCAGTAGCTGTAGCAGTTTGAAGGTATAGGGATTATCTAAGTTCTTCAAATGTTGATTGCACAGGTAAGAAGCCATGTGAATATTTGGGTTATAAGTTGATGAAGAAAAATGGCTTATTTTATTTACAACTGTGTTTGGAAATTGTGATAGCTCCTTAGTGTTTGGGTTAGTAAGCTAATTTTGCAGGATTTTATAAGGATTATAATTCCTCCAGATCTGTTTATGTTTAATGAACTAACTAGAGTTATAGGTTAATCTGATTGACTACTTAATCTGTACAGCAATTACACTGTTGTTTTTGATTTGTTTACAAGTTTTTTAGTGAGAGAATTTTAAAAAAGCACAAAAAGAAAAAAAAAACTATCTCCCCTTTTTTTCTGTTTTCTCTTATTTCTGTGCTTTAGGGAAATGCTGAGATCATAAAGTTACTTCTAAAAAAAGGTGCAAACAAGGAATACCAGGATGACTTTGGAATCACACCTTTATTTGTGGCTGCCCAGTATGGCAAGTTAGAAAGCTTGAGCATGCTTATTTCATCAGGTTAGATTACTCTGTTAGCTTTGTACTTTTAAGATCATGAACTTTAACTTTGTATATTCCTAAGAAGAATAATTCTCAACTTAAATATAAATCAAGTTGTGAAATGTATGGTTTTATTTAAGTGGTAAGTAAGAGTAAATACCAATTGATTTATAAGCCTTGTTATTAAGTGTCTATTACTAACAATGCAGTGCACAGATACCAGTTTATCTGAGTAGAAACATAATGATCTATCACTGAGGCAGGTTTATTGGCAAGTTGAGTGCTGGGACTGTCCTTTTTTTTTTTTTTTTTTTGGAGAGGTTTTTGCTATAGGGCGCGTGCGCTCGCCAGACAGACAGAGAGAGACAGAGAGATAGAAAGCAAGAAATCACCCCCCCAGGGGGGATGGCCACGCTGCAATCCCTTCTCCATTTTCCTCTTGAGATCTTGGGCATGCATGCACACGTGCCCGGTGTGAGTTTAAGCCACCGGGTTCGGGACTGGAACCGCTGTCAACTACATGGGAGTCCAGTGACATAGCCATTACGCTAACTGCTGGTCCTGGGGCTTCCTTTTTTATGGGAACCTGAGCAGTTTCAACTTTCTAGGGTATAAGTCTAGCTTAGGCTTCATTAATTTATTAGGTAGTTATTTTCTATTTTAAGCCTTTGAGTTGCATGCTTTGATGATTATGTGATTATATAAATAGTTTTATTTCAAAGCACGTTTATTATTTATAATGTTAATAGCAGTATACCTGCTAAAGGTTTGTGTTTGGCAACCATTACACATTTAGCATTGCCAGAGAAGATGGTGTTAAGATGGCATTCTTACTTTGTGACATTTCTGTGACCAAAAATACGTATTATATTGGAACTTTAAAAAAAATTTCCTTTATTTTATTTATCATTATAGTTATTTTCAATTGACCAGAACGAGACATCATGGTCATCCATGTGGGAGTCCAGTGCCCCTAACCACTACACCACCTGCTGGCCCTTTATATAAGAACTTTTAAAATTTTCTTAAACATTCTGTATGGTGTCACGGTGCTAACCTGACAAGGCATAGGTAGTCAAGAGAAGAGAAATAACACCAGATTTGCTGCTAGGTAATATTTTTAAATACCTGGCCTTTTTATAAACTATCTCCCAATAGATAAAATAAAATTTATTTAGACAACAGGGCACATATTTTCTTATTTCTGCTTTCTCTTTACAAATCTTCAAATACCTTCTTTTTTTTTTTTTTTTTACCTTTTTTTGGAGAAGTTTTTGCTGTAGGGGCACATGTGCTCGCCAGAAAGACAGAGAGAGACAGAGAGACAAAGTGAGAAATCACCCCCTAGGGGGGCTGGCCATGCCATGATCCCTTCTCTATCCCTTCTCCTCCAGTCTCCTCTCAGGATCTTGAGCACGCACGCACACGCGCCTGGCATGAGTTTAAGCCACCGAGTCCGGGACTTGAACCGCGGTCAACTACGTGGAAGTTCAGTGACATAGCCATTACGCTAACTGCTGCTCTCCAAATCTTTAAATACTTAAGTTGAAGTAGGAAGTAAAAAAAAAAAATCCCAAACATTTTTTTTCTTTTTTGGGAGAGGTTTTTACTATAGTGCACGTGCGCTTGCCAGAAAGACAGAGAGAGACAGAGAGACAAAGTGAGAAATCACCCCCTAGGGGGGCTGGCCATGCCATGATCCCTTCTCTATCCCTTCTCCTCCAGTCTCCTCTCAGGATCTTGAGCACGCACGCACACGCGCCTGGCATGAGTTTAAGCCACCGAGTCCGGGACTTGAACCGCGGTCAACTACGTGGAAGTTCAGTGACATAGCCATTATGCTAACTGTTGGTCCCTAAATCTTAAAATACTTAGGTTGAAGTAGGAAGTAAAAAAAAAAAAAAATCCCAAACATTTTTTTTTTCTTTTTTTTGGAGAGGTTTTTGCTATAGGGCATATGTGCTTGCTCACCAGAAAGACAGAGAGAGACAGAGAGACAGAAAGTGAGAAATCACCCCCCAGGGAGGGATGACCATGCCGCAATCCCTTCTCCTCCATGCTCCTCTCAGGATCTTGGGCACACACACCTGTGCGCCCGGCATGAGTTTAAGCCACCGGGTCCAGGACTTGAACTGCAGTCGACTACATGGGAGTCCAGCGACATAGCCATTACACTAACTGCTGGTCCCAATCCCAAACATTTAATAAGTGCTGTTTTAGGATATATGTTATATAAATAATGAGTCTATAAATCTTGGAGTTGAGAGGAATCTCCAAAATCATTTACTCAAACATGTATTTTTCGATTAAGAATCCTAGGCTCTGAGTGTGTAAGTGCCCTGCCAAAGATCTAGAGTCTATTTTATAGTAGATTCAGAGGTTAGACTCAGTTCTTTTGACTTCTGATCCTTTTTCTGCTACATCATACCTTCCACAGGACCGCCCTAAATCAGTTTATGATCACCAGTCCCAAAAATTCTAATTGTTAATATTTAACTAACATTTATCAGTAGAATTAAATAGGCTAAAGTGTACCTGCTGTCTCTGTTCTCAGCCTAGTATGTCCCCGGTCACCTGCAGCTTCAAGTACCTGTTTATTTTGCCCTTTTTTTCCCCCTTCACTCCTCTCTGAGTTGTTATGCATAGCAGGTTGAAAAGAGGTGAAGTTTTGTTTATAATGCAACTATATGTGTTTCCAACTCCTTAAAATGACTTTTCTTTTAGTGAATTATCTGTTATTTTTCTAGCTTTTCCACCTTAGTCTTGATGGACTCATTCCTTATTCTTTCTGATAATTCGAAATTTTCAGTTAAAGTGAAACATTGATTCAAAAGAAAATTTAGAAAGTTTCTTTCTTGACTTAGTCTTTTTTTTTTAGAGGTTTTTGCCATAGGGCATGTGTGCTTGCCAGAAAGAGAGAGATGGAGAGACAGAAAGTGAGAAATCACCCCCCCCCAGGGGGGATGGCCACAGCACAATCCCTTCTCCTCCATTCTCCTCTTGGGATCTTGGGCATGCACACACATGAGCCCGGCGTGAGTTTAAGCCACCGGGACCAGGACGCAAATCGCGGTCAACTACATGGGACATAGCCATTATGCTAACTGCTGGTCCCTTGACTTAGTCTTTTCTCTATAATGGTCTTTACTTCTTTCAATATAGTAGATGAAATATCCTTTTCAAGTAAGTCAAACAACTTTTAGTTGTCTAGAATGTTGAATATCTATTTGGAATTTCATGTTCTCTTTAACTTGTCATTTATGTTTTGCATAGTTTTTACACATCTCAGGGCTTTGATTTATTCAAGGTGCATTTAAGGAGCATCCTTTCAAATAAAGATAGTCTTTTTTGCACTTTTTTAAACCGAGATATATTCTAGACTGTATATATTTTTCTTTTCTTTTCTTTTTTTTGAGAGAGAAATTTTTGTTATAGGTTGCATGTGCTCACCAGAGAGACAGAAAGTGAGAAATCACCTCACAGTGGGATGGCTATGCTGCAATCCCTCTTCCTTCATTCTCTTCTCAGAATCTTGGCCATGCATGCACACACGTCTGGTGTGAAGTTTAAATCACTGGGTCCAGGACTTGAACCATGGTTGACTATGTGAAAATTCATCAGTGTAACTATTACACTATCTACTGGTCCCAAGAAATTAAAAAAAAATTTTTTTTAATTAATTACTTTTTTTTGCCATAGGGTATGTGCACTCACCAGAGAGAGACAGAGAGACGGTGAGATGAAAAGTAGGAAATCATTCCCCAGGGGTATGGTTACGCCACAATCCACTGTCCTTCATTCTCCTCCTGGGATTTTGGGCATGTAAACATAATGTGCCCAGTGTGGTTTTCAAGCTGCCAAGTTCAAGGCTTGAACCATTGTTGGCCATGTGGGAATTTAGTGCCTTAACCATCATGCTACCTGCTGGCCCCTATTCTAGAAATTAAAAATCTTCATGGTCATTTCATACCACCATACTTAGCATATTTATTACATTGTCTGCTAACAAGTAAAATTTGTGAAAGTCTGCTGTTTTGAAAGCCTTCACAAAAACTGAGGTCCACTTTTTAAATCTTTATTCAGTGATATATCAGTAACTTGACTAACTCTGTGATTTAAACAACCCAGAAACTCATTAAAAAAGACCTTTCTCCTCTCATTGTAGGCCTTACTTAGCTTACAGTGGTCATGAAGGAAGAGATATATTAAAAAACATAGTAAAATACTAGTTTTTTTTTATAGAGAGAGGTTTTTTTCCAAAGGATACATGCACTCAGCAGAGAGAGAGAAAGATAGGGAGAGAGAGAGAAATCATCCCCCCAGAAATTCCTAGGGGAATGGCCATGCTGCAGTCCCTTCTCCTCCATTCTTCTCCTGGGATCTTTGGCAAGCACATACACGTGCCTCGCATGATTTTCAAGCCTCAAGGTCCAGGACTCAGACTGTATTTAGCCATGTGGGAGTGTGGGAGTCCAGCGATATAACCACTATGCCATTTGGTGGCCCTCTCAAATACTAGTTTTAAGGCATAGTGCCCATATATGTCATATCTAATGGTAAATATTTTCATTAAACCTATTAGTGCATCTGTAATATCTTATAATTTAGACTTTATCACTTTCCGTTATTACTAGAAATGTTATCTATATTCCACAGTTTGCATTTTTATTTTTGAATGTTTACTTCTTAGACCCACAATGTTCAGGTTGGAGGGATTGGAATGAAATGAATCCTTCATCAGATAGGATTTTCATGTTAGCTTTAAAATGAAGTCTAAAATAGTAGTCACTTTTCTTGCTGACCTAAAAGCAAAAATAAATTGAATGGCTACCAACAAGTTAGCAAAATATGTGTGTTTATACAACAACATCCACTGAGGGGGATGTTGTACCATGAAACCCTTTTGTGACAACTGCTTTGAGATTTATGTTATCATTTAAAAAATATTTTAGAGATATAAATGCGGATTATTTGTTAAATGTTTTACTTTGTATTAGGTGCAAACGTCAATTGTCAAGCCTCTGACAAAGCTACTCCCTTGTTCATTGCTGCTCAGGAAGGTCACACAAAATGTGTGGAGCTTTTGCTATCCAGTGGGGCAGATCCCGATCTTTACTGTAATGAGGACAATTGGCAGTTACCTATTCATGCAGCTGCACAAATGGGCCACACAAAGTAAGTGTTAAAAGCAGAAAATAAAAACAGCCTCATAATTAAAAGCTAATAAGGAGTAAATCTGGGTTTAGACCCTTTACCTCCAGACAAAATTCTTGGTATTTGCTTTCCTACCTATTTGCTGGGTGACTAGATTTATCCCTAATATGTCCCTCTTGCTGTCCTGGACTCTTAGTCTTGCACTTCCCTAGAGTGGAGCAGAGTGGTTGGAGACATGATAGCCCCAGGGGCTTTCTCAGGGTGTTCAGTCTTCCCTCTCATTGCTCAGGTTATGACAATACTTTCCCCTTGCTCCCTAGTTCTATTCCTGCATCTTTAAGTGGTAATCAGGTGGCCAAATTCCTTTAATCCTTGACCCCAGAATGCTTTTGAACTTATAACCTCTGTTGGAATTGAGTTTTATTTTATGCGTGTTGAGTAGTCTTCCTGATCTTGAACCCTTTGACTGGATTTCTTAGCAAGTCCAACTTGGTATTTTTCCTTGCCTCTATTCTTTTTTCTTTTTGCCAAGTGTTCACATGAAGTTATTGATATTTTCTGAAAGAGAGTACCTTAAAGAAAGTCGTGACTCCCTGAAATTGTAGGTTCTGAAAATCTTAGGAGCTAATAATAACATAGTCATACCTATGAGAATATGGCTGTCCATCTTAACATAAATTGGCACTGAACAGTTTTTAAAAATATATTTTGAAATATTTAGAGTCATAATTCTACAATGATAAAATATGGCTGTTATTAGTATTAATTTAGAGAATCACAGTAAAATGATCACTAGTGTACTTACATAGTATTAAAACAAATTGCTTAATTTGGTTATTTTGAAATTAGGTGGCACAGTATTTTACTGTGTATTTCTTTAAAGATATTTGTAACCATGTTTGTGCCTTGTGGGAGAGAGTAGTATAATGATAGCAGTCTTTTTATTTATTTTTTTTTGGAGAGGTTTTTGCTATATGGCACATGCGCTCACCAGAAAGACAGAGACAGAAAACGAGAAATCACCCCCTGGGGGGATGGCCACACCACAATCCCTTCTCCTCTATTCTCCTCTTGGGATCTTGGGCACGCATGCACACGGATCCGGCGTGAGTTTAAGCCACCAAGTCCGGGACTCGAACCACAGTCGGCTATATGGGAGTTCAGCAATATAGCCATTATGCTAACTGCTGTTCTCGTTACCAGTCTTTTTAAAGTTTATTTCCTTTTTTTATTTCAGGAGATTGAGAGAGACTAGTAGCCCCAACAGGTTCTCCTTCACCCACTTTAGCCTTCTCAGATCACAGCATCATTGGCATGTGAGCTGAGTGTTTAGAGGTGCTGGAGGGGGGGAGGTGTAACCCATGATCTTTCTTATGGGTCCAGCAGTAGTTTGAGCAGGATGTTGCCTCTGTGTCACTGAACCAGCCCTCCGGACATTTTTTTTTTTTTTTTGAGAGGTTTTTCGCTATAGGGCGCATGCGCTCGTCAGACAGACAGAGACATAGAGATAGAAAGTGAGAAATCACCCCCCAGGGGGGATGGTCACGCCGCAATCCCTTCTCCTCCATTCTCCTCTCGGGATCTTGGGCACACACGCACGCACACGCGCCTGGCGTGAGTTTTAAGCCACCGGGTCCGGGACGCAAACTGCAGTCAACTACGTGGGAGTCCAGCGACATAGCCATTACACTAACTGCTGGTTCCCAGCCCTCCAGACATTTTTAAAAAGTAAACACACTTATTACTTTTTTTTTGAGAGTTTTTTGCTATAGGTCACGTACGCTTGCCAGAAAGAGAGAGAGAGACAGAGAGATTGAAAGCAAGAAATCACCCCCCAGTGAGAATGACCACTCTGCAATCCCTTCTCCTCCATTCTCCTCTCGGAATCTTGGGCACACACGCACGCACACGCGCCTGGCGTGAGTTTTAAGCCACCGGGTCCGGGACGCAAACTGCAGTCAACTACGTGGGAGTCCAGCGACATAGCCATTACACCAACCGCTGATCCCACACACTTATTAAATTTAAGAGGCATTAAGCAGACTCTTATCAAAGTACTTAGATTTTAAATGTAGATATTTTTCTAATTCTTGACCACTTATTTAAACATAAATCTTAGGTGTCATTATACTCTGAGCTTTCAGTTAATGCCAAAACCCTCCTAGAAATTTATCTTTAATTTTAAATTTTGAGACTTCTATTAGTCATCCATAATTTCCTCCATAGCCCACTCCAAAGGTAATCCTTCCTATGAATATAAATTTTTTTTAACTATTATCTTAGGCCTATCTGGCATAACGAAAACTAGCAAAGAGAAATATGTTATAGAGATACTTCAGAATACCCCCATCTGTCTTTCCTCAGAAAGAGGGGGAATTTTCAGGTTTATTTTATTCTTACAGTTTTATTTTTTAACTTTTGAAGAGTGTAATAGTCTCTCTCTCCAGCCGCCTGTTAGAGGTAAGTTTATGAATAATCTAAGAACTTACATTTAATGACTACTTGTAGAACTTTCTCTACCTAGCAACCCAGGTATAGAAACCCAGCATCTTTATAAATCTGCCTCAGTATTTAATAAGCTCATATTCTTTTCAGATAATAAAATATTTTAACAGGAATCTAGTTTTTTCCTGATGAAAATAAAATTTTTTATTTCATGTCACTTGCCATCTCTTATTGGAAAAACTAAGCTACTTGGTACTTTTAAAAGGAAAATTAGTTTTCTTGATACCAGTTTATATTTAGTATAAAAAGTTAAAAATTTTTTTTTTAGATTCTAAAAATCTAATGTAAAATTTGAATTCTGAAGAGTAGAGTTAGTGATGATAAGGTAAATCATTAGTGAACAACTTAAAAAGAAAAACATAGTACCTTTTTACCTACCAGAACATTATTTAATTCTGCTTCAGATTTATTTAAGGACATAGGAATTAAGTGACAGTAGTAAGTGTAATATTTTAGAGTATGTAGCATGTAGTAATTTAATGTAAGTAAAAGGTTTACTGAAGAGAGATTTCTTTAAGTCACTCACTGAGTGATTCTTAAAATACATGTGTATAAGTGTTACCTACATTCAGGTACATGTGAAAACATTAAATGCTCCTAAATATGTATATTTATAGAATCTTGGATTTGTTAATACCACTTACTAACCGGGCTTGTGACACTGGGCAAGACAAAGTGAGTCCTGTTTACTCAGCAGTGTTTGGAGGACATGAAGAATGCCTAGAAATGTTATTACAGAAAGGCTACAGCCCAGATGCCCAGACGTGCCTCATCTTTGGATTCAGTTCTCCCATGTGCATGGCTTTCCAGAAGGGGTATGTATATTTGCTATATTTTTATTCTTTTTTTGCTCTATGGAAATGTGCTCCTAAGTACTTTTTAAAAAAGTTTTTAGTTTTTATTTCTTTAATGAGAGAGAGAGAGAGAGACAGACGGACAGACAGACAGACAAACAGGTATCCTAGACAGGGTCTCTGTACTCTCCTATGTGTTTTAGGTTGACCTGGGATCCAAACTGCAGCCTTCCTTCCATCTGACTCCAACACTGCTGAGCAGTGTTCTGTTGCCTGAGCCACCGTGGGTGAACCCCAAGTGACTTTATTTTGTGGCAGAACTTAATATCTATGTTAATATTAAACTGCTAACTTAGAAAACAAACAGAAAAAGCCTTCTGTGATGCACCTTGTTTAGTCAAGGTGTAACAAAGATGTGATAATAGCAGATTATTTTTTTTCTCTCTTTGGATATGGGTTACATTTTTAGTATAGCAACTTTAGGGGATAATTTCAACATATTAAAGTAAATGCAGGAAGTCTCTGATATACTTGGTCTTCAGAACAGTTCAAGAATTAATGGTGAGACTTTATCAAATAAAACAGTGACTGTGTTTTGGGACCAGCAGATGGTGTAATGGTTACATTGCTGAACTCCCACGTAGTTGACCACGGTTCAAGTCCCATAACCCACGGCTTAAACTCATGCGGGGTGCATGTGCGTGTGTGCCCGAAATCCAGCAAGAAAAATGGAGGAGAAGGGATTGTGGCATAGCCATCCCCCCCCCGGGGGGGGTGCGATTTCTTACTTTCTATCTCTCTGTTTCTTTCTCTCCATCAAGCACACCAGTCCTATAGCGAAAATCTCTTTAAAAAAAAAAAAAAAGCAAAAACAGTGACCAGGTTTCAGATTATTTACTATTTTAGTTTTGTAAATATTATTGCATTTGTTGTATAGCATTTCTTGATGTGAGTCAGAAAAATGAAGTTTTAAAAGTCTCAAAAATAATTGCTTTTCTGGTCTGTCATGATCCTTTGTGGTAGCATAAATGAAGAATTATTGCTACTTTATTAGCTTCTGGCCAATAACTTGTCTATAAAACTCCTTAATTTTTTAAAAACTCCTTAATTTTTAAAATGGTAAGAATAAAGTATGCATAAGAAGTCTTATTAAATAGTATCTATGAATCATCCAATAACAGAATAAATTGCAAAGATAGATAGTATTATTTTTCATTTATTTTAATTGCCAATGGGTATATGTACTCGCCAGAGAGAGAGAGAGAGCGCGCGCGAGCGAGCGAGCACAACCCCAGTAAGGTGTGGTCATGCCATATTCCCTTCTCCTCCTTTTCTCCATCCCATCAAGATTTTGGACATGCATGTACATGTACTGGCATGTTTTTCAAGCTGCTTAGATTTTACTGTAACTGTGGTTGGCCATATGGGATCTGGCTCCCTTAACCATAGACCATATGATTGACCCAGATGCTATTGTTTTAAATGATGCAGAAGAGATTGTAGGTAAACCTCAAATTTCATTGACTTTCCCTTGGATCCACTGTTATAAATTTCTCTCTGTAATTTAATTTAAATATATATATATTTACACACACACACACACACACATACATATATATGTATATATATATTTGTTTTGAATTTAATCTTTCTGGTATACATTTTAGCGTGAACTTTTTTTTTTTTTGAGAGGTTTTTTTTGTTTTGTTTGTTTGTTTTTGTTTATGTTTTCGCTATAGGGCGCATGCACTCACCAGAAAGAGAGACACAGAGAGACAGAAAATGAGAAATCACCCCCTAGGGGGGATGGCCATGCCGCAATCCTTTCTCCTTCATCTCCTCTTAGGATCTTGGGCACGCATGCACATGCACCCGGCATGAGTTTAAGCCGCCGGGTCCGGGACGCAAATCACGGTCGACTACATGGGAGTCCAGTGACATAGCCATTACACTAACTGCTGGTCCCTTTAGCGTGAATATTTGGAGCTTGTGTTAATCTGAATATCTGACACACTCTATGTATAACTTTCATGATGTCATAAAATTACTCTCTCAGTTTTTTTCTTTCTAAACAGAGGAGTCCTAATACCTTAGTTTATTGCAGTAAGGTGACAATGATGACTTTGTTTAAGCTGTCCTCTAAACCATATCTAACTGCATTACAGAACTGAACATTTTAATTAGATCAGAATATAATGGTTTGGGGTTGTATGCTTGTATGCATGTGTATTTATTTCCCCAATATAACAATGGAATTTCTGGGTCTTCATCTTACCTTTTGGAGGATTGATATTTTTGTTCCTTAGGGTCACAGCAGCTAAGATGAAGCCCTCATCATTTTGTAAGCGTAGTTTGTTTTAACCCAGTGCCTTGCTAACCCTGAAACACCTTAAAATTAATGAGACTGAGAGTGAGACAATACATTTCATGCCATTTATAGACTTAAATAAATAAAGTTTGGTCTTTTAAAATTTCTGGATTTTTAAAATGAGTTGAAATTGTAGGGAGTGGCCGGCCCCTTTTTTCTTTTGATTTCTGCAAAGTCACTCAATAAAATTAACTGACTAGTTGTTAGGTAGAGAGCACTAAATAGATTCTTGAGGAAGCTGAAACATAGGCCCTGCCCTTTAAGAATTTAAAACCTATGGGAAACATAGTATTTAGTAGCATTTACCCACCACCTTTGGCAAGGGAAGTGTTTTTAATATAACCATTCATGGAAGACAATGATCCTACTTTTTTTTTTTAGTATTATTAAGAAACAATTTTCTTTTCTTTTCTTTTCTTTTTTTTTTTTTTTTTTTTTTTTTTGCCAGAAGGTACCTGTGCTCATTAGAGAGAGAGAAGGATAGAGAAGGAAAGAGAGGAAAAATGAGAAAGCAATCTCTTTGGGGAACGGTCTTGCCGCGGTTCCATCTTCTCCATTTTTGAGATTTTGGACATGCACAGTATGTGTCTGGTATGTTTCTCAAGCTCCTGGGTCTGATACCCAAACTACTTAATCAGCTATGTGGGGATCCAGGTACCTGGTTACATCAGGCCACAGGTTGGCCCAAGAATCTTGTGCTTTTTTTTTTTTTCTTTTCTGTTGCATCTAAGATAACTAAATATGAACTGTTATTTCAATCTTTAATAGTTTAATGATTCTGTTTATTTTTCTCTGTAAGTATTCCAAAGTTGTAATTTTAAAGAACTCTATGGCTGGATTACTTTTTATATCTAAGTTACTCTGTAGAATTTTTTTTCTCTCTTTTATTTATTTTTTTTAAAGGTTTTTGCTATAGGGTGCGTGTGCTCGCCAGACAGACAGAGACAGACAGAGAGCTAGAAAGCGAGAAATCGCCCCCCCCCCCAGAGGGGATGGCCATGCTGCAGTCCCTTCTCCTCCATTCTCCTCTTGGGATCTTGGGCATGCACGCACACGTGCCTGGCATGAGTTTTAAGTCCCGAGTCTGGGACGCGAACTGCGGTCAACTATGTGGAAGTCCAGCGACATAGCCATTACGCTAACTGCTGGTCCCTGTAGAATTTTTTTCTGAGTAAACTTCAGTGCTGCCAAGAAATTCTAACCCTAGGTTGAGGAACTACTTCTAGTCTAAGTGAAGGAATCTCATTACTGCCTGTGTCTCTAACCAATTAAGACTGAAAACTCTTCAAAATATGAAAATAAACTACTTGAGAACTATGCCAAATAGACAAAGCATTCAGATTATGGAAGAAAGTAATAACTTGAAGTGACCCATATGGAGATGAATTTCTCATTTTCTTTTTTCTTTTGCTGTGTTGCCTGAGAGCAGGCCCCAATCTGAAGTTGGGCAGCAGTAGTGACACCAGCAGCTGAAATTCTGATAGAAACCCTGTTTTTATAAGCAGACAAATCAGGTAAATAGAGTTTTGGAGTGTAAAGGGAATCCTAGAGGAGAGAGAGCAGGAGAAGCAGATATTCTAATTCTGTGTATGAATATGCATATTCCTGGACTCACCTGAAACTTCAAATGCACTGGAGAGACTCAAGGTTTTGAAAACAATATTTAAACTGTTGAAGTCTCAGCTAAATCCTTAATGGCATATTTATAGGACCAGTCCCAAAGTAGCATAGCAAAGGCTTTGAGAACTGAACTGACATTGGAACCATTGTCTGTAGAATGTGAAACAGAGGTTGCAGTCTGAACCTAACAAGGTTATATGCCTTCTACAGTAAGCCAGCCAAAAAAAATCAGTGTTCTTTATAAGATTATAACAGGACAAAAGACCGAGAATCTACACAATATAACATTTACAATGATCAGGATACAACATAAAATTGACATGGACAATCAGTAAACTATGACAAAACTCTCTGGGTATGCCAGTTTTCAGGCACTTTCAGGTGTTCAGCTCTCTGGAAACCCCTCAGTCCAATTGTTTTTTTTTGTTGTTGTTGTTTGTTTGTTTTTAATAGAAACTTTATTATGTAGGAATAATGATCAGATTGCTGACCATTAGTGATTAACTCAACCTTCTGCCTTCCTTCTCTCCTTAGAGGTTGGGGGTTGTGGCCCAAAGTCTCTAATCATATTGTGATGATGACCAGCCTCCTTCCTCAAACTATCTAGGAGCCCCAGCTATCAGTCAACTAATTAGCAACAAAAAGACATTTAGAGAGCTAGTCCCATAGCCCAGCAGTTAAGCACTGTGTAGAGAAAGCCAGATCCTACATGGCTGACTGGGATTCAAGTCCTGGCCCTGGAGGCTTAGAAAAACATGGCATGTGGATGTGCATGTGCCTAGGATCCTAATGGGATGGAGAATTGGAGGAAAAGTCTTGTCATGTGACTGTTGAGGGGTACTTTCTCTCTCTCTCTCTGTCACACACATACATGTTTCCTCACATTAAGAACAAAAAAGATACTTAGAGATGCTGAGGATTTTTGGAACTGTATGTCAGGACAAGGGAAAGAATAACAAATATATATTTTTCCATATCACAGCCTCCTGTAAATTTTATGTAACAGTTTTGCTCACCTTGGTAAGAGAGCTTC